GGGCACCACCTTCTCTCGCCTCCAGCAGACCAAGAGTAGCCCAAACCTCTGTACAGCCCCGCGTGCTGACGGAGTAGAGCACAGGTCCCAGCTATGGCCGGCGCTCCGAACGTCTGGCTATGTCCTTCTCCCTCCACGCTGAGCCGTCACCACTTCCGGTTCAAGCGTAGCACAACCCCGATGTACTCGGTACCAACTGCCAAAAGCCCTGAACCGATGTGCCTAACCTATCTACAGTCTACTCTAGCCTAGACTCGACCTAGACCGGACTGACTGACCGACCGGTACCGATTCTGTTTCGGCCTCTAGGGCCTCTCCCAACCCGGCTATAGGCTATAGGACCGTCTATCAGCTTAGGCCCTTAGGGCCTGTCTGTCCTAGGGTAGCCCGGGTCTGCTATTGGAAGTTAGGGTAGCTGTAGGAAATTCAGTTAGTACGGGCCTGTATTTTCCCAAATTTACCGATATGTCCCTGACGAATTTTCCTTAAAGGCAGGTTTCTCGGTTAGCCCTCAGCCAAACAAAATAACGAATCTAATCTACAGATAGTACAGCCTCTACAAGAGAGAGCCTACAGACGACCAGAAACCAGCAAGTCATTGCACACATCTGTCCACGATCTGATTCGGACACGTGCCACTCGGTTTCATCTTTGCCCTAAGTCTTCCGGTAAATGCTCCAAGATGCACGCCTAGCAATACAGCTGCTCAAATGTTTCATATTGAACAGCAAATGCCAAGCAGATGGACATTGAATACTGTATTCATATGTTATAGCCCTCTACTCTTGGCTTTCGTTTGCAAAATTTTGTGTTTTCTTTGCGGGCGGAGCCGCAACAGGTAAGCTAGTACAGCTATAATTAGTAATTACTGTACGTTCTATTTGGGGGAAGATTGTACGGTCGTCGATGGCTCGATATGTTCACGTTGATCTCGTTATGGAGCATCGGAACATGCCAGTGTGCCTAACCACCCAGGAAGAGGTTAGCCATTGGTGCCCAAGTTGCAGGGATGGGAGATGAATTTTCTGTTGTCATTTAATATCTGATCCGATTGAAGATCGGTAATTCATGAGAGAGGAGCGATGCTGGCTGAGGCAAGGGGATCAACCCTTCTGGTGCGATGTCAGCGCCCTACAGCTGTGTTGCTGGTCTTTGTCCTCAGCCCAGCTATGGCTGCCACTGGGTACATGCAAGGTACACCCCAGGGACCTCCCCCTCTAGCGCCACTTCAGCACCCTACAGCTATGATGCTGCTCTTCTTCCTTAGCTAGCTATGGCTGCCGCTGGCTAGATGCAAAAAGGTACTGCCCTCACCTGCGGTGTGGCGCTGACATAGCGCCCTTGCCGGCTGCCAGCATCTTGCGTCCTAATGTTCTTTGGCCTGCGGCGGCCTTTCCTTATATACTACTGTCGTCACGAGCATGGACCGCCGGTTCATATAGCTGTATTTGGGGCAACTCTCAGTCCAGATGCAGCGATAATTACCGGACGTCCTGTTCGGGTGAAGACGTCAGGGCTGGGTCCAGTTTGGCCGGTAGGCACTGGAGTCCCCAAGTTTCTGCCGAGGCCTACTGGATCTCAGGCAGTGCTATCGGGTCCCTATTTGGGCCTGACCGGGCCTGCACTCCTGGCTTATTGTTTGCAGAGTATTACCGATTTTGTTCCCCTCCCCCCGCGCCCCCCCCCAAAAAAAAACTCTATTTTTGTTTGCATGGTACACGGAAATATCTATCACACGTCTGTCCATAAGCGGTTAACAGGGACCCCCACTTTTCAGCCCTGGTTAACCCCCTCAACCCTAGTTTTTTCTGCTTTTTTTCTTTTGCCCTGTTTTATTTTTCTGTTTTATAGGTTTAAAATTTTGAAAGTTTTTTTTTCAATTTTTTTTTGTAAGTAGTTAGTATGACCTCCACTCTATGAATTGGTGGCAAGTTTGGTTAAAATGACCCTCGGGTTTTGTGATAAATGGCCTGACAAGTGGTCTGAAAATTGAGGCCTCCGTTAACCGTCTCTCTTTTTTGAATAGGCGACGGTCCCAGGCAATTCAGAATTATTTTTTGCTCTGAATCTGATTACATCTGGATTTGAATTTGGGCCTGTACTTCAACAGGTCATGAGAGTGTACCAACCGAGCTAGGCCCGTTGGTGCATTCGACTATTCCAGGTCTCTCTCTCTCCTTCTCTCTATTTGTTTGTCTCTTGGCGACCGATATCTTTTTTTTTTTTTTTTCCCCTTTTTCTGGAATGTTTCAACCTGTGCGCCCATTCCATTACAGGATCATTTGACCATTCCATGTCTTTTTGTTTTCTTCTCTCTCTCTCTTTTTTTTTCCCTTGGCGACCATTCCAACTTCTAAGCGCGCCTTCCTTTTCTAGAATGTTTCAATCTGTGCGGCCATTCCAGTTTCCATTGCAGGAATATCCGTCCATTCCACTTTCTCTCTCTCTCTTTCTCTTCCCGCCCCCCCCCCCTTCTTGGTGATCATTGGCCGTCTCATTCTGACCGTTATCGGACTTTTCTTTCAGTCTGCTTGTTCTTGTTAAACCACCAGTACTTGGTCCAGCTATTTGTTTCCGTTCTGGTCCACATTAACGCAGAGCGTTTTTTGGGGCTCAGGTCCAGAGGAAAATGGCTGGCAGCACCACCCGAAAAAAGCACCGGTTTGTTGTTTTTTTTTGGGGTGCACAGCACGTTTCCAGCATCAGAGAAAAGTCCCTCGGAAGTAGTGGTGGTTTAAGGCTTTTGTCTGGCGGTTGCTGTGCCGATTTGTGCGTCTGAAATGGACTAGGTTCGTTGAATTTGGGAACATCAAGTATTCCTACTCCATGTGCTCTAAAAGAAAAAATGTTGGTACTCTACCGGTTCCATGTATGATTTCTGATTTCTGTTTTCCTAATTGAAAAATTCCTCCAAGGTTTTGGAGTTGAAGGCAGGGGGTAGTGGAGCTGTGATGGTGGGAGATGACGCACTCTGCGGCGAAGGTGCTAGCCTGTAGGGTTGAATAGGGTACAGCAGCAGTGAAGATGGTGGCTTCACCGTAGTAAGACTTGCCGGAGTAGGGTTGAGAAGGTTCTGTTGGGGGATATTTGCAAGATAAATGATGGGGTATACGACTAGGGTGCTGGCTGGTAGTTTGATTGGCATTTGCCTTAGTCCAGTCCCGGTGGTTTGTGGATAGACGAGGCCAGAACGACGCTGGTCGGTGCTGGGGTTTGGTTGCGCTGCCCTGTAACTCAAGCGGTATGAGGGCATGAGACCTGGTAGAGAGATCTGGGGAGTTGTCGAGGGTGGAAGGCACTCTAGTGTCTTTTCGTGAGCTGGTGCGTAGGCGATGCTAGCCGGAGCCGGGGCAGGTCGCTTTGTCCTGTGGCCTAGCAGGTTGGGGGGTTTCTGGGGTGGGTCGTGCCACCCTGTAACCTAGCAGTTGGGGGCATGAGACCGGGTAGAGATTGGGCATCGGGATATAGGGGTGAGGCAGGTAGGGTTGGGTTGCCAAAAGGCTCTAAAGTAAGAAGTTCCTTCGTTCTGAATGCTCCTTTGATCCGAGCTACACATTTATCTTTTTTAGCCGAAGCCGGGCAGTCTTAAGAATGTTTTCGGACTCTGGGGATTCCTAGCAACTTTGTCTTAGGTGGCTTCGATGCTGTTATACTCAGTAACCTGCGGCTGTTCGATGCCAGAACGACGCTGGCCGGTGCTGGGGTGTTGCCCTGTAACCTGCTGATGCAGGAGCGTGAGGCCTGGTAGAGAGATCTGGGGGTGCTTTGGGGTGGGCATTCCACGTGACGACCAAGGGTTGCTGCTGGGACGATGCTGGTTGGAGCTGGGGTGAGTTGTGTTGCCCTGTAACCCAGCAGGATGTGGGGTCGTGAGGCCTGGAAGAGCTCGGCAGGGAGTAAAACAGTGTTGGAGAGCTTTGGAAGGGTTTGTTAGGGATTTCAAGGGTTTTGGAGCATTTGTAGGACCTATGCGGTCTATTCCCATCCTTTCCGTATTGCTCAGACGTTTTCTCAAGAGATCGAGGTGAGTGCGAGAAGGAGAAGGTGGGATATCACGCGTCCTACTAGTAAGGGGGCTAGCTGGTAGGATGGGAATAGGGTACAGCAGCAGGGGAGACGGTGGCTATGCTGCAGTAAGTCTTGCCGGAGTGGGGTACAGGGGATTGATTGGGGGTGTCTGAGTCATTTTCTGAATTGTGCATATGTTTTTGTTCCTTAGCCATATTTCCAAACTATCTGTTAAATTTTCATATGGGACGTTGGGATGGATTCCCAGCATTAAACCACCACTACCTTTCCCAGGCAAACTCAATGTCCATCTAGTAGCCTACTCCTGAAAACACGGGGCTTGGGGCAGGGTTGGAGGCCGACGAAAAAAAAAGAAAAAAAAAAAGAATAAAAAAAAGGAAAAAAAATTAAAGAAAACGAAGAGTCCCCACTCCAGGGCCGTCGGGAAAGGCCCTCACGAGGGTGGAAGTTGTACCAGTGCTTGGACGAATGTATCTGGCTACTATGTCGGAAAAGGGATTGCAGGTCGTTTTTCTTTTCTTTTTGTTTTCAAATCCTTGTAGTGCCCTGCCAGCCAGGCAGGGCGTGTTTCACGGGTGGCACGGAACTGTCTCACTGCTGTAGCATCATGTATCTGCCCTCAATCACAGGAAAAGGGATTCCTTCTTTTTTTTTCTTTCTTTTCTGTTTTTTCCCGTACACGCCCTCACTGAGGGCACAGTCGCACAAGTACTTGGACGAATGTATCTGGTGGTTATCAAGGCGTTCGGGAAGTCCTTTTTTTTTTTTTTTTTTTTYTTTTTCTTTTTTTTCCCCTTCTTCTTTCTTCGATGAAACTGCCCCGGCTCGGCCAAACTCGCAAAAACAGGTTCGGAGGTAGTGGTGTTTAACAAAAAAAACAAAAAAAAAAACAGTTCCATGTATGGGACATGGCGCGGCTCCATGTGTGGATGTTTTGCTGATGTGGGGATTGTTTTGTTGGGATGTGTCAGGACTTCACGCTGGAGCAGGACAAAATCACCCCTTTCGCTGGCTGGAAGGCTCATTATGCCCTCACCAAAGCGGTGATAGAGGCTAACGAAGCCTTCTACAACTATTTCCGAGCAAAGTCCGTCCGCGGAATGGCACGAATTTGGCTGGATGCTGATTACGTCAAGTGCATTCATAATGGGGGCCAACTTGTATCGGGGTGAGCTATGGCGCACCTAACTTTCCCGGATCTTTTGGCAACAAATCTACATTTTTTATGTGTATTGATACACCCGTCTTCACTCGAATATATCGTCTGGTCATTTTCGCTGCATTTTGCCCACATTCAGTCGAGATTCAGCACAGCATTAATGGCCCGGTGTAGCACCAGAGTGGCCCTGCTCCCCTTGCCCTGACTTGGCCACTCCTTGGGCTGGGCGGCCTCGGACAAATCCGACTGTTTTTTGTGCCGGCAAGCTAAAAAATGAACTTAAAAGTTAAAACCACCAGTCGGCAGCTCAGCCTTTCATCGCTACCCCCCCTGCCGGGCAACACAGAGCCTAGGAAAGGTTCGAATTGCTTGCGGGGAAGAGGCTGACGGTGCCAGGCAAATCGTGCTCCACAACGGTTTAGATTTCTTAGGGGCGCACCCAATGGTGGTTTCAACTCAAGTACGAGCCCCCCTCCTCCGGAACGTGAGGCCGTATACAAGGGGGTGCCAGGCGAATCGTTCTCCACAACGGTTTAGATTTCCGAGGGGGGTACCCAATGGTGGTTTAAACTCAAGTATGAGCCCCCCTCCTCCGGAACGCGTGGCCGTATACAAGGGGGTGCCAGGCAAATCATTCTCCACAACGACTTAGATTTCTTAGGGGCGGACCCGATGGTGGTTTAAACTCTCAAGTACGAGGCCCCCCTTCCTCCGGAAAGTGAGGCCGTATTCAAGGGGGTCATGCATTCAATGTACGAGCCTTGCGGGGTCTGGTTCTGTTTGTTTGGGCACAAAATAATAAGTTTTGACAATTATGGGTCTGCTGCACCGGTGGTTAGTGGGTTTATGGGGGATAAGTAGGGTTTAAACTTTGAAGGGTTAAAAGCGGCTTAAACCACCAGTACATCCGGAAAAGGAGATTGAGCCTCTCCTTAAAAAATAGGAGGCCGTGAACCGTTGATCACATTGTATCGATGGTCCATGGCCTCCAAATTTTTAAGAGAGGCTCAATCTGCTTTTTCGGATGTACTGGTGGTCTAAAAGATTTCCTCTCTTTTTTTTGTTTAAAGATCAAGAAATACAGCTGTCTTCTCCTCATATAGGGGACAAGCTGTATTTGCTAGCCTATTTTCTTCTCTCAAATCGTGTAACTACCTCATTCTTAACTACCTACCTACCCTTGTCTAGTAGTCCGACCAGAATCCCTACCTTAATCCAGCAACGCGAAGCAAGCTATTCCACTGGTTCAGGATGAGATTGGAGCTAGGAACCAGGGCTAGGGTCTAAGACTACCTTAAATTTACTGAAACCACCAGGACCTCGCCCTGCCTGCAAAAATCGTCGCGGCCGTTAGTGACTTTCGGGGGCCCACGGCCGTCGAGATTTCGCATCGACGGTCCTCGGCACGGCGCGGGCCTCTGAAAGTTGCGGTGAGGGGTTCCGCGGCCGATATATGGCCAAGGTACTGGTGGTTTAACCAGAACTAAGCTATCCTGAGGTTATGGGTCTACGCCTACCTGTCTCTGCTCTGCCCGGGGGGGGGGCAGCATAACCCAACCTCCTAACACCCGGCGTGGGCTGGTACAGACAATCAGCCAGGAGGCCCAAGCCAACAATCTCCGCTGGTGAACCCGAAGGACAATGTTGGGTATCGAACCCACGACCTCCTGACTGCCACTTACATGCCCAACCAACTGAGCTAGCCCGCTTAATTTCCTCTCTAATTTGAATTCAGTAACGAATTTTTTTGGCTGGCGCCGCCAGCCATTGTGGTCAGGTAGGCCTGAGCCCCAAAAAGTTCAGAGTCGGTGACTCACAAAATTCTGCAAGGCTGGGGCAGCATACTGGTAGTTTCAAGAGAGGAGGAGAGATTTTGCTCGTTTTGTGGTTCGATGCACCACGGATCAGATATTAAACTGATCAGAAGAGATGCTACACGATCTATTTTTATTTTTTTTAGCCAAAAAGCCAAGAAAGGCATAGGAGGAGAGAGTTTTTTTTTTTTTTTTTTTTTTTTTTTTTTGGGGGGGGGTTTTT